CACACACACAGACACCCACCAAAATCAGATCTGTGCTCTTGATATTAATCACCATGATTTCAGTACTTCAACTTCCATTCTTTACCTATTCGCCAGCAACAACTTTTCCTAGCCCCCAGATTTCCATTTTTTGTTGCCAGGACTTTATTTTGTATTATGTCTTTTGTAGGTTGAACAACTCCTTCTGTGTGTGTCTTGGTCAGTACAATTATTTTTACTGTTTATCTCAGTATAACTGGTCCTTCTAACATACAGGTTAAAAATAAACAACTCATCATAACTAAATTAAAAAAGACATGAACATGCAGGTTTGCTTAGTAAGACTTCCACTGGTAGAAAAAGGGTCTGTTGTCCCGGTTCATAAGGGCCTTTAGTCCCGGTTTTGGAACCGGGACTAAACTGTCGGTACTAATGCCTAACCCTTTAGTCTCGGTTCAATCCAGAACCAGGACCAAAGGGCGCGGCCACGTGGAGCTCCACCTTTAGTCCCGGTTGGTAACACCAACCGGGACTAAAGGAAATTTTATGATTTTTTTTTGAAAATTTTTTTTTGAATTTTTTTTTTGAAATTTCTTTTGATTTTCAAATTTCTGAATTATTTTAACATCTAGTCTGTAATCACCACCCCTCATCACTTCTCAATTTATCCTCTAATCACCCCTCATCATTCCAAATCATCTAACTTCCCGAACGGTCACCCATCCTCCCACTCCCCCAGCCTGAGCACGCTTAACTTCCAGGTTCTATTCTCCCTCGCTCCAAGTCTGCACTTGTTGTTTTCCTCACAATACTAAGATGTCAATCCTATTAACCTTCAGGAATTTTTCTTGAGCATGAAGTGAAACATTTCATAGTTTTATTTTGAAACTATTATTTTAAAAAACAATAATTATTTAGTAACACTAATATTTCTTGAATAATTAGTTTGACCATTGTTTGACCATAGTTTGACCACAGTTTGACCAGATTTGACCAAAATTGAAATAACAGAAATAATTATTTAGTAACACTAATATTCTAGAATAATTAGTTTGACCATTGTTTGACCACAGCTTGCCCACTGTTTGAATTTTTTCCGATTTTTTTCACTCTAGATCTTAAAAGCCCCGTAACTTTTTTCTATTAGGTTTTTGAGGATTTTGAAAATGTTTAACGGGGTTCCCCCTGTTAAATTCAGATGTAACGAGTAGATGATTTTTCATATAAAAAACTTTTTCATCCGAGTTAGTATGCAGAAGTTATGCCCATTTTTACAAATTTCAGAGAGATTTTGCAAATAAAGTCAAAATTCACATTTGCAAATTTTCCCAACAACTAGACCACATATCACATGGGAAACTTATTTTCTTTTATTTTTTTACATTTCCATCATTTTCTTTTATTTTTTTCAAAACTGAAAAGGCGATCCACAGGGGGGGCGTAGAGTTTGAAAATGGGACCTTTAGTACCGGTTCGTGGCACGAACCGGGACTAAAGGTCTCAACCCCATTAGTCCCAGTTCGTGCCTCAAACCGGGACTAAAGGTCTAATCTTTAGTCCCGGTTTGAGGCACGAACCGGGACCAATGGTTGTGGGCCAGGAGCGAGGCCCATTGGTCCCGGTTCATCCCACCAACCGGGACCAATGGCCCACGTGGCCCGGCCGGAACCCTGGGCTCACGAACCGGGACCAATGCCCCCATTGGTCCCGGTTCTGGACTGAACCGGGACTAATGGGCTGACCCGGCCTGGACCAAAGCCCTGTTTTCTACTAGTGTTCGATATGAGGAGATTCAAATTGGACGGTGCAAAATGTGATCGACTTTTATGAAGAAAATCAGTTACCTTGTAAAAAGATAGCTGAAGTGCTTTTACTGTTTTACCTCAATTAATACTAATTGTTGTACCTTTCATAAAAGCTACTTGTTGCAGCCCCATGGATGATAATGTCGATCTCCTCGCACAGGTCGTCAACTCTGGAGTTGTCGAGCCTGAAGTTGTGAGACCCGACGTCTCCGGTGAGAGGAACTATCTTCTCTTTGATGAGCTTCTGGAAGCCAGCAAGCCCATGCTTTTCCCTCAGGGTATTGAACAGGTCCTTCCCCAACACCTGCAAGCGCGAGACCAAGACGAACTAATTGAGTTTCCAAATTTGGCACATACTATACATCTAACGTTAGTGTTATGTCCTGTTCATATCACTGCATGTAGCTGCGGTGATCCATGATTGAATGCAAGGACACATTTCAACTTTACCTGGGTCAGGATACGCTGGTCGGCAGAGGCGACATCCGGTGCACGCACCAACAGGTAGAGTTTCTTCACGTCCGGCTGTACCCTCAGTATCTTCTCAATCATCACTGCATGAATAGATGCATTATATATATGCATATCTGTACGAGGCAAGTGTTAGATGTGTATATGGTATTTGCGTACATTTTCCAAGGAAACCAGTTGAGCCGGTGACGAGGATGGTCTTTCCCCGGAAGCACCCAGCCACTGCTCTGGCGTCCATCGCGAGCTACCATGATAATAAGGATAGAGAATCGACGAACCTGAGTATGTAGAAGATAGTGGCCGGTTTCTCTTCGATATGATGCTAGTGGAGAAGTGGAGTCAAGCCAGACAGGCAATGAAGTGGTGTGCTTGCTAGCTTAGGTCTTGTGGATGCATGGTTAATACTCTTATAGCCCACCTGTATCGCACATTTGGTCGGGCCTTGAGCTGTGAACAGACAAGAGACAAGTTTTTTT